GGGTCCGCACTGCCAAGTCCTGAAGTTCAGTTCTGGACAGCTTCCCATGGTGGCTGTTTCTAACGTGGGTCCGTTGGAGATTATTGAGTTTTCACTCGGGGTCCTGGGATGTTCCATAACAGGCAGATACCATGGGACAGACCATGTGCTCTGCTCGGGGCTGAGCCTAGCTGAGAGCAGGGCTCTAGAGAGGGAAGAGAAGAGGAGGAGCAGAGCATGCGGGCCCTGGGTGGATAGAGAAGGCTGTGTGAGGTTTCAGTGGTGTTAGGAGTCCTACCCTCTCACCTCTGTCCATGGGGCATTACAGGCGGTCTGGAAGCATGCACACTGTGTACATACCGCTGCTGTCTGTCGGCTCCAAGGCTGTCTGGGGCTACTCGACACTGGACATGTACTCATGCTGTGGCTCTTGTAATCAGTGGCAGTGATCGTGATAAAAGCTGGTGTAAGAGTGGAGTCCCCCCCTTGTCTGTCTTGTTTGCTTCACCCTACCCTGGAGACTCAGAGCAGATGACTTAGAGAGACACAGTAGAGGGAAGAGGATGCTGTCATGGCTGTCACATGCCAGCACATTGTTCATGTTGGCTGGAGCCTGTGACTTCAGCTCACAGCTAGAGCTAGGCTGCCCCTCCTGTCCCTTACCTAAGGGATTTGGGGAGAGGTCCCTCAGAGCAGGCCAGCTCTACCTGACCATTTCTCCCCTCCTCCCAATCCAAAGGCACCCAGTCGCTCTCATGGAAACTTTTGGGAAGGGTAGACACTGAACTCCTTTCATCCTGGGGTTCCCAAGCCAAGCAGAGAGGCAAGAAGGTCTAGATAAGATGTAGATGATCCACGGTTCAGAGGTTAGAAACAGACACTTGTTTCTCCAGCCACTTTCCATTCAAGTAGTGCAGAGTGGAGACTTCCCAATGGCCAGTAATTCATAGGGAAGTGTGCTCAGCCTCTGATTGTCCTGTGCCGAGCACAGTAATTGGACCTAAAAATGCATCCACATTATCACATCTTCATCAGAACTAGCTGACAACATAATTAGGAGTGTTTTTTTTAGGGCAGCAATACACTTTTTCGTAGCAATCCACTGCAGACATGAAAGTAGGTTCTCTTGTTATTTTGATGGCTTCATAGTCCCTAACAGTTAGAATTGCAGCATGATCTGGCACCCTCCTTGTGTGCCTTGGCATTTTGTGCTTTGTACACTGCTTTAGGACTATCTTGCTGGGTGCTAGAGGATCATGCCTACAATTTTAGCTACTCAGGAAGTGAGATCTGAGGGTCACAGTTCAGAGGCAGCTTGCACTGAGCAAATCCACAAGACTCCATCTCCATTTAATCCGCAAAAAAACTGGGGCTAGAATTGCAGTTCAAGAGGTAGAATGCTAACTGTGAACGAGAAATCCAAGCACAAGTGCAAGGACCTGAGTTCCAGCTTCAGCATCAGAGTGTGTATACTCATGCATACGTGTGCGAGCACACAGAACATCTCTAAGGAGCACATAGTCTTTCACTACATCGAATGCCTTGTGTTCAAGAGGGTGCTGGGAAAGTGGAGGAAAAGAACAGGCTGGACTCAATCTCAACAGGTGAGGACTGTTTATTGAAGAACAGCAGCAAGAGACAGCAACCTTCCCTTGGGAATGGAGGTTGTGCAAGGAGGTGAGGTTGGAGTTAGGCTTTTATGGGGTCTGAGCAAGGAGACAGAGCTTATTTAATTCAGTACAGGGGAGGTGACTACAGGTACTGGCAGCAAGCAGGGTATCAACCTGTCTTGTGGTTATAACCATTCCCACGTGGTATAGTTTGTATGCATAGCGCTAATTGACTCTCTTATTGTTAGGGAGCAGACCTTTGCAAGGTCTCAAGCTTTTAATGTCCAAACAGCTCTAACATAAATACACTTAGGATAGTAACTTATATATCTGTCTTGCCTTGACTATTTGATCTTTTCAGGGTGCAGTTTTCAGCCTTCTGAGTACTGAAGAGGTGGCATTCCAACCTCTTAATCCTTTCCTGGTCTCAGAGTTCCCTACAGGTGAGGTCTACAATGGGGTGTTTATGGCCAGGCTTGGGTCGGATTGCCCTGCCTGCGTCAAGTATGTTGTGCATACCTGGGGTTTTGCCTGAAGTCCGTATGTGCTGCGGATAATAGGGTGCGAGTCAGTCCTTCACATTCCATCTTTAGATGCATGAGATTGAGCCAAGAGGGAGAGGTAAGTCCTGCAGAGGGTGCACCAGGCTTTTTGGCGTTGGGCTTCTGGGACAGGCTCTTTTTACAAGCCAACTTTGCACTGTTTGAAGCAAAACAGAACCTCTAGTCACATACTCCAGGTTGGTTGGTGGCCATGTCCTGCCCAGCTTGGCTCTTCTCTGCAGCCTTGCACCTCCAGCTTTTGCATTGTCTCTCGGCACGGGAGGGGCCTCTTTGCTGTACCAGTACATCTCTGTCCTCTGTTCCCCCAGGAAGCCAGGCCACTTGCTGTTGTCAGTTCACTGGGGTGGCCAGGGTCACACACACCAGGGCACATGGCAGACGAGTGACGGGGTCGTGCAGGGACCAGCAGGGCCAATGTGCAGACAGAGGAGGCATGCAGCTGGGCAGGGCCCTGGGGCTGGCCCCCATGGTTGAAGCAGCCATTGTACCTTCAAACCATGTTGCTTCCAGCTTTTGCTCTGCTTCTGAACTTCTGGCTCTCCTAGGTGCTCTGGGGTCCCCTGCCATGACTGTGCCTGCACCCTGGAGCTCTGTTTTTGTAGGCACAGCCCTGCGTTGGCAAAAGATCTACTTACCACTTGCATGTGTGTGTGTGTGTGTGTGTGTGTGTGTGTGTGTGTGTATGGTTATAGCTCAAGTGGTTGAGTGCCGAGCTGAGTAAGCTGAGCTAGCACAAGGTCCTAAGTTCAAATCCTAGTGCCAGTAAAGCAATAACAACAACAGACACAAGAGTTTGCCACCAGACATTACTGGGAATAGATTAGTAGCCCTGCGTATCGTTAGCATTTTAGCTTTGAACTTGGAGGAGCTCAGCCCATGGTCTTTAGCTAAATATATCTATGTCAAAACCAGGTGGCAGGACCTCTGGACCTAGTTTCTTGCCCTCTGGACTGGGGCCAGTTGCTTGATCCCTTCTGGCCTCAATTTCCTACCCTATGGGCTGGAGATTACAAACCCCATCCTGCTGAAATCATGGGATTGATGCAGGATGGGCAGAAAGCATGTTGAAATGACATGAAGGGAACATGAAGAGAAGGAAAAAGTGCTGCTGTAACCTCTTCTTTGGACAGCATTTAAAGTTCCTTAGGAAGAAAACATTCCTTGGAAAAAGTGAAATATTGATTGGCACCGTTCTTGAGAGAGTTTCATTGATGATGTGTTGTTTTGCTTTGTTAAATGTCGGTTTCATGCATTGTAGATGTGGGAGTCTCTGAGGTCCTAATGTCCCTGCTGCTTCCTGGTGGAGCACCCTTGTGAGTCCGGCCTGGGGTGGGCTCTCGGGAGCCCTGTGTCTTGCAGGGTTTTGTCTTCATCCCAGTAGAGCCAGGTGGCTGCTGTCCTTCGTTCTTGTCTTTTCTTGCAGGGCAGCTTGGCTATAAAGAGGAGGAAAGTGGGAATGAGAATCCAGAGAGGCTTTTGTTTTAGAATGGGAGAGATGGAGCATGGGAAATTCCAGTGGAAAGGGAGAAACGGGTTCTGGAGAGAGGAGCAGAACTGTGGCTGAGGGCGCTGCTTCTGCACCCCAACCAGCTCATTGTCTGGGAGCCTGGTATCCCTCATGCAGGCCAGGAGGGGCGACTGGGGGCCTCTGAGGCAGCAATCACAACACTTAGATGTTGGACCAGCGGTTCTGCCCCCTGCCTGAGGTAAAGGCCCGAGTGCTGCTCCCCGTGAGCTCTGGCCCGACGCCCGTGTCGTGGGTGCCACTGCTTGAGTGAACGCTGATGCCCACCACAGTGCCGCTGGAGCTGGGTGAGGAAGCAGGCGGGCGGGTGACATGGGATCGAGTGAGGATCAGGATGCAAGACTGCACAGAGCCCGAGGGCCTGCTGATCTTTTGGTCTGCCAGCCATTTGCCCAGCCTCAACAGCGCAGCAGTTCTTGGAGAGTGCCAGGTGGTTGAGACCCTGCGAGGTCCTGCAGACTGCGTGGGACACTAGGCCGCGCGGGGCGGTTTTGTGTGGCTCAGTGTGTACGAGCCTGCGCTGGAGGAGGAGAGTGGGCTGGACCTGGGATGGGATTTCCAGGTGCTACCCGACGGGGGGGGCTGGACGTGTCCAGGATGTGTGGGTCTGTCTGCTTCAAAGCCATGTCCTTTCCTTCACAACCATGTTCTTTTCCAGCCTAAGTGTAAGAAGAACAACACAAATTTCATTTTGGCGCCTGAATTTAATGTTGTGTGCCTATAATTATTTTATCACCCTGAGGACGAGTACTATTTTTTTCTCTCATTATGTCTTCTTGCTTAGTATCATGGGAAGAGCATAATGGACCGTTACCGAATTTTTGTGAGCAGCGATGATGTTTTAAATAGGAATTAATAAAAAGCGAGGATTCCTATCTTGGTTTTATTTTTCACTCTTGTGCCCATCACTGAAGGGCATCTTGGCTGCTGAGAAGCGGCACGTGGTTCGTTTTCTCCTTGCACCTGGTTGGAGTCTGGCTGGAACACACCACCCCTGGGCAGCGTTTTTGTTTGAGGGAGGGGTTCATCATTTGGACTCTGTGTTTTACCCAATGGGCTGGGCCACGCTGGAGTCTGGGCTCTTGAGTGGATTTGGGTCAGAGGGCAATCTATAGGAGACTCTTCTCTAGGAGAGACTTGAAGTACGGAAGAGAGAACGTTCTGGCATCTGGGGCCACTTGAGGTGTCTCTTGACGGGGCAGTCTGCTGGAGTCTGGCGGTGGTGCAAAATGGCAGCTCTTGGTGTTTTCTTGAAGCTTGAGAGTAAGCATCATTTATGTGATGGTGAAATAAAAATATTTTCCTGTTTCTTTTTTCTTACAGAAAACACGGCCATCTTCATGTGTAAATGTTGCAATCTTTTCTCGCCAAACCAGTCAGAACTCCTGTCTCACGTGTCTGAGAAGCATGGGGAGGAAGGGGTTCATGTGGATGACATCATCATTCCCCTTAGGCCTCTGAGTACTCCTGAGCCCCCCAACACGAGCAAGGCAGGAGAAGGTAAGGGCAGTCGGCCTGCTGGGGGGAGTGGGGTCTGTAATGCCCACCTTCTATTTCATGGGCGTGGCAGAAGCCTAGAAATCTCACCCAGAAATTCCCTAATTGCCCAATTGCAGATTTTCTCAAGTAAGAGCGGGACTTTGGATTTCCCCATCCCAGCTCCTGTAGTTGCTCCTGCAGGGCGTGGCCGGTGGATGAATGAGTGAAAGGAGATGGTGGTATCCATGCATGACACCAGCAACTTGTTAGGGAAGTGTGGATTGAGCCTGGCTGGAGTACTGAATAACTTGAGGCAGCTGATCAGCATCCAGCCCTCACTCATTTTATCTGAAAAATGAACAGAGCTGTGCAGATTAAGTCAGGGGTATCCTACAGTAGCCAGGACGACACAGAGAGAACGATTAAGGAACACCCTTGCACATAATCAATAAATTAGTATATATAATTTCAGAAATAGCATTTCCACAGCGATCGTGGAAACCTCCAGCAAGGATTCACGTTGTGAAGCTCTGCTTCATGCAGAATCCTAAGGTTCACAGTCAGCGTGCAGAGTGAGATACATCTTGTCGGCAGTGGGAGAATGGCGTCAGGTGGAGCAGGTTGTGTGGATTAGAGGGGCCGTGCCGGCCCTGTAATTAGGTCCCCACAGATGTCAGAGAAGATATTTATCACAGAAAGAGGAGGAGCGGCACATAGGGCTTAGAGTAGTCCCCCTCCAAACTGTTTTTAGGTGATGAGGAACAACAGCCAGTCTCCAGTGCAGAGGCCCTGTGTGTGGTGGTAAATGTCTCATTGCAGGATTCATTAGCCACAGTAATAATCCAGTCAGTCTTCCCTGGGAATATTCAGACTGGCATTTCTAAACAGGCTGGCTTATTGATCGTCTGTTGGACACCATTAACAAGGCGAGGCTCCAGACAGACAACGCTTGGTTAATAAGTCTCTCTGGCCCATTCCCAGGTGCTGGAGAACCACACCTGACAGAAGATGAAGTTGTTGAAGAGTTAGGCAGTTCTAGTGGTTAGCACTTGTGGCATTAGAAAATGCAGCACCTGAAACTGGCAGTGGCACAGGAGGAGGAGTTGGCCCCTGACACCATCACCATCAGCAGGTGGTGGTGTGAGCGAGGGGAGTTGCACACAGTCAGCCTACAGCGTGTGCTCGGTGCTCTGAGGAAAAGGGAGGAGGGAAGTTTGTGTGGAGCACTGAGAGCATCTTGCAAGCACCAAGGGCCTGATATTCAGCCTGTCCTGGTGGGGTGACTCAGGGCCTCGACTCCTGGTCCCAGGGAGGAGCTGTGCACACCGTTTTCTGGGGCCTCTTCCTGCAAAGCCATCCTCATGCCAGCACCTTCTAAAGAGCGTGGCTTCCCACACAGAGAGGTGCCCCAGGCTCTTGCCAGCAACCTTGAGTGTTTGTGTACCTGCTTCTGGGGTCAAACATGCAGGAACACAAGAAAAATCAGCTATTTCTTTTGGCTTAATTTGTGTGGTAGACTGAAGCCATGTGAATTAATGTGGAAAGAATGTGAGAATTGCTCTTGTAAACGCTTTAGTTCTATATTCAGGTTTTCTTAAGATTTTCCTCTTTACTCAGTGAGGTGTGAATAAGAGACAATAACTTCACATTATCATTTCTTTATAAGAAATGAGTCAGATAGATGGTGCATTGGATAAGACGCACACGGATGCCCACGCTGGTGTCTCATGAGGTGTGTGCTCTCACTTCTGACCCCCCCTTGTGGTAGCACCGTGCACCTTCCCTTCCTGGCGATCTGACCCCGCCACCCTCTCCCAGAACCACTCTCCCCCCAGCCCCCAAGCCCATTTCTTCCCCTTACCAGTGGTCTTAGCTTCAAGCCCTGCTACTGGCAAAGTAGCAGTTGACCAGATGCATGGCTGTGCCTTTACCTGGCCTTCAGCGTGGCTTTGCCCAGCTCACTCTTACCAATTCTCTGGAGTTGTGCAGCTTGGGACCACCTTGCAGGATCACTGGCCGTTCATGGGATTAGAGCCCCTCCCTTGGAGCTCCCAGAACACCTGGGTCTCAATTCTGTCCTTCCTGTTCACTGTGCTGTCTTGTTGGTGAGGGAGTTTCTTTGGAGGGGCCTTGGCCCCATTTATCTCTATAGGCTGAGGTCCTGGCACAGGGCCTTCCCAGTGTGCTAAGTGAAAGAAGCACTCTTTGAAGTTATTGTTGTTTTCTTTTCTTTTTTTTGGGGGGGTCCGGTCGTGGGGCCTGAACTCTGGGCCTGGGCGCTGTCCCTCAGCTCTTCAGCTCAAGGCTAGCGCTCTACCACTTGAGCCACAGCACCACTTCCGGCTTTTTTCTTTTTTGCTTATGTGGTGCTGAGGAATTGAACTCAGGGCCTCAGGCATGCACGGCAAGCACTCTACCACTGAGCCACCTTCCCAGTCCATGTTGTTTTCTTTTTCAGTAGAATTGGGTTTGAACTCAGTTTCCTGCTTGCTAGACAAGTGCTTTGCTACTTGAGCCACTCCCCTGAATTTTCTAGTTTTGTAAGTTGGAAGGGAGGCTATTTTTAATAGGTTTTTATTAGTACATGTTCGTTATAGAAGATGATATTCCCATATGCTTACAAAGTGCCCTATCAAAGTCACTCACCTCCCACATTCTCCCTCATTCCCTCCCGACAACTTCAACAAGTTTCAATTTTCTGTTTCATGCATGCAAGTAAAGTACTCCACAAGTTCACTCTCATTCATCCTCTCCATTGGTCCTTCCCTCTCCCACTGATGCCTGTCCTCCAACAGAACCTGTTCTACTTTCTTGTCATTCAATTTTTTTTAGTGTATATTAATTGTACAGAGGTTTCAACCTGTGTGTATATTTTACTTTATTTAGATCGACCTCCTCTGTTGCTCTCTTTCTCTAGAACCACTCCCCCACTTCTGTAACAGCTTTCAGTGGGATTGCTCCTGAACACATAGATCCCATGTATTCCCACACCATTTTTCCTCCAGCATTCTCCTGTCTTCTCTCACAAACAGTTGCAAACATATGCATATGTATACGTGTGTGTGTGTGTATCTATGTATGTGGACATCTTTTTTGTCTAGATTCTACAAATGAGAGAAAAGAACTTGGCTTATCTCATTCACCCTGATGACCTCCAGTTCCATCCACTTTGCTTCAAATGATGTAATTTTATTTGTGGTTAAGACCGAGTAATATTTCATGGTGTGTGTGTGTGTGTGTGTGTGTGTGTGTGTGTGTGTGTGTACATATATATATATATATATATATATATATATATGTATATATGTATGATATTTTGGAAGGGAGATTGTTGGTTTGAGATTTTTTTTCCCTCAGCTTTATTGATGCATAATTGACAAAATGATACAGATTTAATCTGTGTAATGTGATGATATATGTATGTATTTTGAATTGCTTACCATGGATCAAATTAATTAATATTTATATAACCTTACCTACTTATAATTTTTATTTTCTTTTGTGATCTACTCTTAGAAAATTTAAGCATACAATAGAGTATTGATAGCTGTAGTCACCATGTTCTACATTAGATTTCAGTAATTTATTATTAAGCAAATGAAAAGTTTGTATTCAAATTTAAACCAACATCTCTCCATCCTTCTCCCAGAAGACAGAATTACGCTCTTCATTTCTATGAGTTTTTAAGATTCTTCATGTAAGATCATAAACTATTTCTCATAACTCATTGTACTTGATATACTGCCCTCAAGGTTCATCCATGTTGTCCTAAGTGGCAGCATTTCTTTTTATTTATTTCTTTTTTTACTTTTTTTTTGTCTTTTCTTTTTTGGGACTAGGGATGGAGCCTGGGATGTTGTACTTGGTAGGCAAGCACTTTGCCATTGAGCTATATCCTGGCCCAGGCAGGATTTCTTAAAGTGATATATACGTGTGTGTGTGTGTGTGTGTGTGTGTGTGTGAGAGAAAGAGAGAGAGAGAGAGAGAGAGAGAGAGAGAGAGAAAGAGAGAGAGAATGAATGTGTGTCTGAGAGATAAAACAAGTGTGTGGGTGGGTGTATGCGAGAGAGAGAGAGAGACAGACAGACAGACAGACTGAATGAATGAATGAATGAATATGAATGATTTTTTTTTATCATTTCAGTCTCCTCATCCATCCATTAGGCTGTTTCCATGTCCTGGTTGTTATGAAGGGCGCTGCAATAAACATGGGAGTGTAGTTATCTTCACAAACCATTGATTCAGTTTCTTTTTCATATATAGCCAGGAATGCAATTACTAAATTGTATGATACACCTGCTTTTTATTGTTTGAAGAAGTCCCATACTGTTTTCCATAATGGATATATACATGTGTATTCACAACAACAATATGCATGATTCTCTTTAATTCCTTGCTACATTTGTTATCTCCTGTCTTTCTGATAACAGCCTTTGTGTGAGCAAATATTTCATTGTGGTTTTATTTAATGTTTGCATATTTCTGATGATTGGTGATGTTGCATACCTTTTTATGTACCTGCTGGCCATTTATATGACTTTTTTTGTAGAAATGTCTATTTAGGTTTTGTTCATTTTTAAATTAGGCTTTTTTTTACTACTCACTAGAGCTCATGAATCTTACCAGAATTATATATGAATTTCTAGTATATTTTAGATATATCCCCTTAATACATGGCAAGTGACCATGAGTAACTTAAACCATAAAAAGTAGAACCATATAAAAAAGAGTGAAAACTCTAATAATCACATTCTTACCACTGAGCTACATTTGTGTTATTTTTCTTTATTAAACAATTTTCTTTTGACTTAAATTCTTCTTGAATACATTCCCTTTTTTGTTTATACAATTAAGGAGTAATTGCTTATGTAGTTTAATCTTAAAAGAGTCTTCTAAGACTTTAAATTCAGGTTCTTAAGATGTGAAAATTTCTTTAAAAGTCTTTCATTAAGAACTCCAGCTCTTCCTTTTTCTTTTGTATTAGTCTATAAAATCTGAGGTTTGTAGAGGCTTAGTTTCTC